GAGGGCATGGGAGACAAAGAAAATGTTTAATTTTAGGTCTGTTTTAGGGGACATACCAGTGTAATAGATTAAACGCATGCTAAAAAAACGCTGAAATGTTAACATCTAAGGCAGGGGTAGTCCAACTAAGGCCCTCCAGCTGTGGGGTGGAACTACAAATCCCATGAGGCATTGCAAGACTCTCACAGCCACAGACATGACTCCCGGAGAGAGATGTATCACGGGGATTTGTAGTTCCACTACAGCTGGAGGGCCGGAGTTTGGCTACCCCTGATCTAAGGGGTTTCAAAAACAAAATCCATATCTTCTTTGGCTGCACTAACTTGGTAGTAAAACGTAACCCTCCCCCACTCTTACTAAAATGACTTAGTGGACTGCTGAAATTCTGGGGTTCGCATAGGTAACGTTAGTATTTTACAGTCACAGTATCAGAGAAAACCAGCAGAGGGCGCTGCAAGCAACATCAATAATTAGGAGCAAAACCCTCCTGAGGACACCTGGGAGCTGTGTACCCCAATGCATTACCCAGGCGGAAGCAGGTGAATCCCACATTCTACCCAGACACCCCCCCACCCCCATAGGTTTTTTTTTATAATCCCCATTACCCTCAGTTCCTGCTTGGGTTCGATATTCTTAATGGTGGTGTAATAGATGTGCTGGCCGTACTGATAGGCCACTAGGTTCTGCTCTAAATGGTTCTGCGCCGGCCGGACAAACATCATCCAGTTACAGAGACTCTCCTCGAACAGGTCAAACCAGAGATCCTCCTGAAAGGTTTCCTGGGAGCTCAGGGGGTTGTTGAGTGACACCTGCAAGAAACAAATGATGACTATAAAATATAAAAACACAACGTTCCCCCTCTATTGAGTCTTCAATTCTCTCTGAGCTGCTACAATTACTCTCCGAGATAAACTCGATACATTCTAAACATAAAATAATAATAATAATAATGTGGGGGTGACATATAGAAGAAATAAATGAATATCCCTCTAGTGTGGGGGGTCCCCGGTTCGAATCCCGGCCAGGTCACTATCTGCATGGAGTTTGCATGCTCTCTCTGTGCTTGGTTGGGTTTCCTCCCACACCCCAAAGACGTGCTGGAAGGTTAATTGGCCCTCTGTGTATGCATGTGGGATGGGGCCTTAGATTGTAAGCTCCTTGAGGGTAGGAACTGATGTGAATGCAGTGGCGTCACAAGGGGGGTGCGGCCCGCACACGGGTGACACCATTGAAGGGGTGACACCAAAATGGTGTCATTTTGGTGTCACCCCCCTCTGAAAAGTCGGGCGCTCGGTCATCTGCTGCCCAATGGATGGATTTACCTTCCAGGAGAAACCAGGAAATTTTTTCTTATCCAGTTGTCACCAGAACAGGTGTCCTCATTGGAGGATTTTCCATCTATTCCTGTTCAGGTGACAACTCAAAGTTTTATATTTTCACTCACTTTCAGTCCTGGAGACAACAGTCCCAGGGAGACAAAAAGGGGGGGTCCTGGGTCCTAATGGGGACACAGCAAGAAAAGCCCAACAGAGGATTCAATGTCTCTCCACACTATGCAAAAACCCAAAGTTACAGTCTTCCATTCCCTTCTGTCCACAACTCTTCTCATTCCTTCCACATTTGCTTCCCGAAAGCCGTTGTCCCATCATTCCCAAATGTCACCCAGCCCTCGTCCTGAAAGTCGCAGTCCTCTGACCATGGAACTCTCCATGGCCTTCTACCCGCCACCATCAATATGGGGAACCCCAGTCCTAAACAGGAGTAACCAGCCGGATTTATTATAATACCGGCAGTCCCCGACTTACATACGGGGCTATTACTGTACAGCGGGGGTAGTTGTAACGCTACTGCGCTCGTGCCGACGAGGAGTGCCCGCCTTTTTGGGTCCGGTTCGTAGTACTTGCACGTACATTACAGGAAGTTGGCTCTTGTTAGATGTGCAGACGAGGAGTGCCCGCCTCTTCTTCCGGGTCGCTGTGAGGTTTTTACTGCTGTCCAGGGGCGCAACTAGAAATCACAGGGCCCCATAGCAACATTTTGTACGGGGTCCTGTGATTTCTAGTAAAGATCACCTGAAATCCCAAACAGCCCACCTGAGGGTGACCCTGCAGAGCCCACCATAGACTCTCTATGGTGGGCTCTGCAGGGTCTCAGGTGGGCGGTCAAGCCCTCTTACCTGTCTGCTCCGATCCTCTGTCCGCCCCCTTCTCCTCCACAGGCGCTGTCGGGCCCCGCCTCCCACATCGCTTACTCGATCGCTGGGCCCCGCCTCCTCCATCGCTGCAGACGTCGGGCCCAGCCACCTCCTCCGAAGCTGCTGGTTGTCACCGATTCAGCAGCGGCTGTGAGGAAGAACACCCGCAAGTGACAGCCAGCAGCCTGAGATGCCATAGCGACCCAGGCGGCCCGCACGGCATCAGGGAGATGTCATGGCCGGGCCCCCCCCCTTTCCCCCAGGGCCTCATAGCGGCCGCCTGGGTCGCTATGGTGATTGTTACGCCATACTGCTGTCTGTATCCTCATTAGAAAGAGTTCATCTCACTTCCTGTCCTTGAGACAACAGGAAGTGAGAGGAAATCTACACCTAGGAAGGGAAATTCACTCCTGTAAGAGTCATCATGGGGAAAAAGGTGTCTCCGCTGAGGCTAAACGCCAAATTTTCAAATCCAATTGTCACAGGGACAGAAAGTGAGGTGAAATCTTCTGAACAGGGGCACACACAACAACAAAAAAACTTTACAGGGGGTTAAGTCTTCCCTGTACTATCCAAAACAAAAAACATTTTTGGGCTGGAGTTACACTTAAAAAATTTACCTGTTCCAACTTACTTACCAATTCAACTTAAGAACAAACCTACAGTCCCCATCTTGTATGTAACCCGCGGACTTCCTGTATTGCAGCTCCATTCAGAATTTCCTCCCTCTGCTGCCCCCAGAATAAAACACACCCTGCACACCCTGACCATGTAACCCTTAATAGTCAATAGTCCCCCCCCGAGTCATTCTATCATCTTCATCCTCGGATTCTGAGTGGTCCTTCCCTCACAAACCTTCAGATGAATGTAGCCATCCTTCAGCTCTGACTTCTTCACTAAAGGTCCTTCCAGAGGTCCGAATTGTGTGCGTTTGGGAATCCGTCGCTTGGAATACACCCCTCCGAGGAAGCGATCGATGTACAAGACTAGGGGCAAGCTGGCTCGGGCTCGGGTCAGCACAGGGCGGTTCGGAATGGGATGGAGGGCCCCGTGTTTGGGGCACACGGAGGGATGGGCGTTGTTGCACTCTTCACACCCTAAGAGACAGGAAATACAATGTGTTATTTATTATGCTCGATGTCATTCCTGGGTCAGACCTCCAGCACACGTATGTACAGACCATCATCCTCATACAGGGGAGAGCTTTGTGCTTGACGAGACCCGGGTCAGGAAACGGAACATTATATTCTTCAGGTTCTGCACGCTCCGCATGCAGTTTGTAGCCGTCAGTCTCTATTCTGAGCTCTCTCTCCGTCCCAACCCGCTCCGATCATCACCGTACTGAATGTCTCATAAATTCTGTGATGGAGAACTGGCAGCATTGCAGCCTTAAAGATGAACTCCGGGATGAGTTTCATTTTTAATAGAAAGCTCCCACCCCCCATTCCCACCCAAAAAATGTTCTCAATAGGTGAATGCAGAGCCAAGAAATTGGTACTTTTACTTGCTGTGATGTGATATGCCTAGCCACAGGAAGTAGGGATCTGTAAGGTGCCGTGCATCACATCCTGCGGGCAGCTGACTGGCGCTCTATACTGCTGGACAAATGGTGGGCGGGTATGTGGGTGGAGTCCTGTGGCTGAGCGGGACTAGAATATAATCCAGCGGTGGGCGGGTATGTGGGTGGAGCAAGACTAGAATATAATCCAGCGGTGGGCGGGTATGTGGGTGGAGCAAGACTAGAATATAATCCAGCGGTGGGCGGGTATGTGGGTGGAGCAAGACTAGAATATAATCCAGCGGTGGGCGGGTATGTGGGTGGAGCAAGACTAGAATATAATCCAGCGGTGGGCGGGTATGTGGGTGGAGCAAGACTAGAATATAATCCAGCGGTGGGCGGGTATGTGGGTGGAGCAAGACTAGAATATAATCCAGCGGTGGGCGGGTATGTGGGTGGAGCAAGACTAGAATATAATCCAGCGGTGGGCGGGTATGTGGGTGGAGCAAGACTAGAATATAATCCAGCGGTGGGCGGGTATGTGGGTGGAGCAAGACTAGAATATAATCCAGCGGTGGGCGGGTATGTGGGTGGAGCAAGACTAGAATATAATCCAGCGGTGGGCGGGTATGTGGGTGGAGCAAGACTAGAATATAATCCAGCGGTGGGCGGGTATGTGGGTGGAGCAAGACTAGAATATAATCCAGCGGTGGGCGGGTATGTGGGTGGAGCAAGACTAGAATATAATCCAGCGGTGGGCGGGTATGTGGGTGGAGCAAGACTAGAATATAATCCAGCGGTGGGCGGGTATGTGGGTGGAGCAAGACTAGAATATAATCCAGCGGTGGGCGGGTATGTGGGTGGAGCAAGACTAGAATATAATCCAGCGGTGGGCGGGTATGTGGGTGGAGCAAGACTAGAATATAATCCAGCGGTGGGCGGGTATGTGGGTGGAGCAAGACTAGAATATAATCCAGCGGTGGGCGGGTATGTGGGTGGAGCAAGACTAGAATATAATCCAGCGGTGGGCGGGTATGTGGGTGGAGCAAGACTAGAATATAATCCAGCGGTGGGCGGGTATGTGGGTGGAGCAAGACTAGAATATAATCCAGCGGTGGGCGGGTATGTGGGTGGAGCGGGACTGGAATATAATCCAGCGGTAGGCGGGTATGTGGGTGGAGTCCTGTGGCTGAGAAGGACTGGAATATAATCCAGCGGTGGGCGGGTATGTGGGTGGAGCAGGACTAGAATATAATCCAGCGGTGGGCGGGTATGTGGGTGGAGCAGGACTAGAATATAATCCAGCAGTGGGCGGGTATGTGGGTGGAGCAGGACTGGAATATAATCCAGCGGTGGGCGGGTATGTGGTTGGAGCAGGACTAGAATATAATCCAGTGGTGGGCGGGTATGTGGGTGGAGCAGGACTAGAATATAATCCAGCGGTGAGAATTGACTTGGGGGTAGTAAATTGCAGAAAGATTCCACCCACTCAATGCATGACATCATTGCTGCAGACTAAACCACTATGATGAGAAGTTACACGGCTGGTCGGCTCTGCAATATGGAGGGAGCACCAGTGACCGGTCACTGGGGGGGGAGACTGTTGAAGAAAGCGGAGCATGTTCAGGAAAGCCACAAGAGGACTATTGTACACGAACACTTACTGTTTCCCCCGGAGTTCTGCTTTAGGTCTCCCTCTTTGGCATTTACAGAAGGCAAAACATTTTTATTTTTGGATAGCGCTGGGAATGGCTAACATGTGTTCCCGTGTCCAAAAGATGGTAATAAAAACCCTGGGTGACATTCTAGACCAGGGGTCTCAAACCTCCGGCCCTCAAGCTGTGGGGGTGAAACTACAAATCCCATGATGCATCTCTCTTCGGGAGTCATGTCTGTGGCTGTGAGAATCTTGCAATGCCTCATGGGATTTGTAGTTCCCACGTAGAAGCAGATTGTAATGTGATATATAAATACAAGGACGCGTCATGTGCGGTGGGGGTCAGTCAAAGTCTGTAGCGTTGGTTAGTATTATTTTTGCCGTCATGTGGGGGGGGAATATTCTTCTTGTATTACTTTGCTTCTTTATTTTTTTTCTGCGTAGTCAACACGAGACCCTCTGGATTATCTGTGGGCAGACTCTGATAACCCCCCCCTCCCCTCCACCCCC